AGGAAGTCCCTGCTTTAAGCTGAAAGATTTTCTTTTCATTTAGGGCTGAAACTCGTGCTGCACGTTGACATCTTTTTCGTGTTGTTATTTTAAATTTCCTTTTAATTTTGATACCTAAAGTTGTTGTTTATCTCCCAATCATCATATTCCGAAATAGTAATCTCAGCTTGAAGTTGGTAGATTTCCGTTTCTTTTAGAATTGTTACTGGTGTTGTAAAGTTAAAGACATTTCCCTTGTCCTCCTCTTTTGCAAACTCCTGGGTTTGCTGTTGTTTCTGGACTATTTGTTTTGTAATCTTAGAAATAATCGATGGTTTAACCTCCAACTCTTTCATTTGCTAATGGTAAAATTAATCTGTTCTTTTGCTTTTCCCAAATTAAAATTTGATTCGTCAAATTTTAAATAGCTCGCTTACTAAATAAATTATATCCGAGAAAGTATTTTATGACCAAAAAAATAAAAATATTAATTTGTAATTATGGAATCAGTCATTTACAATTACTTCTATAAAACAGTTTGAATCAATTATAAAACGAAAGGTTGAAAGACACCTACCAATTTTTGGGACAAGCTTTTATCGTACTAGAAACGCGTGCATTTTATACTGAAAAACTGCCCAACTTTTTTCACATATTCAAACTCTATTGAAATTATCTTTCACGTAAAGTGAGTAATAAATATAAATGTAGAAGCTTATAAATATAATTACTTTTGTTTTGAATCGTCTATTAAGAAAATTCAAAAAAATATTCCTATGGAATAAATCAGTTCTTTTTCGCCGATGATGCATTTGTTGTTGGATTGGAATTGGTAATCACTTGGGACTCCGATCTATCAAAAAGTTAAAAAATTTTAGTAATATTTTTATAATTCTAAAAACTAAAATAAAAGACTAGTTAAATCTCTATTTTTTCCATCCGAATCCACCTCCAAATCTTAAATGCTCCAATACTTACTAAGAATGAGTAAAACTATCAATTATTAAATTTTCCTTTATCTGATAAATCCAAAATAACTACTACAAAGAGATAATTTTTATTAGAAATAAAAAAATTTATTTCCAGAACTAATAAATGATAAAATAATTTTAGTACTTTTTTTATTTCTAAAAAAAATGATTCCATACATATAAATAAAAGAGATAAT